AAGACTTTCAAATTCACTGATTTTTTTTTCTTACAGAAAATACTTTCCTATTCCTGCAAACATTTTACGTTGTTACCATAAATAAGAATTTTTTCAATCATTTGCTAAAGAAACTAGGGGGAAAGTATGCAAGTAAATACGACATTTACATTAATTAACTTCATATTTCTCTCGATTTAATTTCCGTAAATTACTCATAGATGAAGTGTGGATAAAACTAAAGGCAGCATTTTCTATCTTACTCAAACGTATTATAAATGTCGCAATTTCATCTCAACAGAATTTAATCACGAGAACTGTGAAATAGATTTGAAATGTTCAAAGTACGACAGAAGTTTCTATAAGTGTCTTCAACGTTTATTCCCATTGAACGCACAAACATTCTACTGTTTTTATCTTTTTTCTAGACATTGGATGAAATATTGATCGAGTTCGGTCTTTACCCAATATTTTTATTCTTTTCAAGGAGGAAAAAGACGTTATGGAAAATAATAGACTACATTGCACAACTGTCAAAAACTTCTTTTCAACAGGAAATATAATTCTTCTGCGAGAAAAATAAAATAAAGAAAGCGAGTTCGAATAAAACTTTTTTAAAAGTGCATGTTAGGAACGAGCGTTTTGGAACAAATGGAAGACATATTTCCACATAGATCATCTGAAATGAAGCTTGGACACTTTATCTTCACTTGGTCAGACAAAAATACCTAAGTGTAAGCAAGATAATATAAATATATCAAGTTGTTAAGATGATGCATATTTAGAAAAGTGACGTGTTTTAATTAAAACTATTTTTGGGCTTACTAAATGCTTAAATGCCAGGAAAGGCTTTATTTTGAAGGGTTGTAGTTTTTTTGCTTGTTAGAGTTGTTTCTTTGAGTTAATAATATTCTAAATACTTAAATCTAGAAAACAAGAAACCTAGAAAATGGTAATAAATAAGTCAAGGATTGGATTATTCAATTATGGCAAAGCACACAAGAGCTATCTGCCTAAAGGAAGGGATGCCTTCGTGGAGGATTTTCTAAGGGAAACTGCCTCGTATACACGTTAAAATTGGGTAAAAACACGAAAACGTCCATGCAGCCAGCCCGTTCGCGGGATTCGAACCTCGGACCGAACTACCAGTGTTCAATGTCTTTACCGCTTGGCCGCTGGTGGGCCAATAAGTCAAGGAATATACTATAATCATAAAGTATATAAGGAATTATCTTCATACTAATTTTTATTTGGACCAAAAAATCAATACTTAAATCGAAATTTTTAGTTTAGAGAAAAATGAGTGATTTTAATATTTTTAAATCAGTTTAATACTCCTAGCGCATATCAAATTTGTATTATTTCTAAAATATTACTCACTTTCAAAATTAGACTAATTTCACGTAACACAACTATTAGAGGTTTAGAAATCTCATGAAATTAGAGTAAATTTCTTTAAAATGTCGGATATCTTTTTGAATCGTAAATGAATATCGCTGAAATTATGTTTAAAGTAATATTTCTCGTTTTATAAAACAAACTATGCCTATGCAAATTTAGAAAGCATTATTTTAGGCTATACGTTACGTCATGTTAAAATTATACAGTTCTTTCTCGTAAGAATAATTTCAACAAGTTTTTTAAATCGATTGTAGTAGGTGCATCTAAAATATCTTGCACTTTATTTGTATAAAATGGAATATAATTTACAACTTTATAACATAAATTGTATGGACAGATTTCAAAATTCTGATTTATGCTCTAGTGCACAGGAAAATGAAATTAATAAATAATAGAAGATTTTGATAATTTAGTAAGAGTATTCCTTTGAAAATTTCTTATTATATCACAATCTTTTATGCCGCCTGTGGAAGTGATAATTCGTAACTTTAATGACAATAATAATAAAGCGTTTAAAATTATTTTTAATTTAGACAAAGACTTTTAAAGCTACATTAAATTCTCATATACCATCTTAAGTTTTAGAGAAAATCCAATGCTGCGTAATATTTAAACAAAACTTTAAATCTACTCTATTAAAATTGCAGTAGGGAACTGAAACATTAAGAAACATTTGAGCACCAAAATGATTTCTTTAAACTTATCCTATTACATTGAGTCATCCTACATAGACTAACCCTGGTTTTCATCACTTAAACCATAAAAGTCAGTTTTTCCTGAAAGCCATGGAGCATTAAAGATAGGCTTACATTTTATTATAATTAACTTACCACTGCAACTTACTTAAAAGTGAACATTTTTGCCATATTCAGAACCTAAACATAGAATGTTTTCGTTTAATAAAAGCAGACTTTGCGCATTGCGTATTCTTTAAAATTGTTCTTAAATAACTTTTCTTCCTTATTGTAAATTTGTACAGCTTTTTCTTAGTTGAGGACTGTAATATGTATTAGTTTTAGTGTAATGTGAAGTATCCATGCTTTTTATGTTTTAAAACAAAGCATATTTAATTTAATGTCATAGATAAATAGATGGCAGGATAAAATAATTTATCAAAATATTGCACCAAATAATTACTTAGTGCACTCTAGATATAAAATATCTTAATACTAATGTTGACGAAGAATACAAAATAAGAGATCAATTGCCATGATGAAAGAAAGAACGTTTTTAAACAGTTCATCAAAAAATAACAGACTACAATTCAATTGTGAGATATTTTAAATGAAAAAAAATCGTAATATAATAAATAATGAGGTATTGAAGAACAGAAAGCAAAATACGTTGTAGGGAAGATAGAGGCTAGTTGTAACAATTTTTGGAAAAATGTTTATATTTTAAAATGTATTTACCATTCCTTAATTGAAACTGCTGCTTTTATAGCATAATGATTCATTATTATTTACTAGACTATACGCGCGAAACAAATATTCGGAAATTTTGTTGATTTTAGAAAAAATATTTTATCAAAGATATTCGTTTGTTGCAGTATGGCCCGGATTTGGAGCAAATAGTAACAACAGAAGCGACAAAACGTAGAAGAGTTTTTTGATAACTATTACTTGGATGACAATGAATGATATATAGTGGTTTATAGTAAAGTAAAATTGTTTAACAATCAACATAAAAGTCAGTCTTTATCAGAATTGCAGTTAACACAAATAATGAGAGATTGTTTGCTCTCATTGTTTTAACGTATGCCCACATTTTGTAAACTAAGAACTGCATCCCATCCATTTAGTCTTCTTCATCAGAGTTGCTGTAGGCATCTACGAAAGCCAAGCATAACCACTTTATTGTTTCAGGATCTGTGGTTCTCCAAAATTATCCTTTTCGGCTGTTTTATCTTTTAAGTTTCTTTTTAAAAATTTTTAGCCTTTCAATTTTCATTTAACTTTATCTTCTTTTTCTTTTTTTCTTCTTAATTATATTTTCAAACTCTTTCTCTTTTTCTTATTAATTATATTTTAAAACTCTATTTTCTTTTTGCAGTGCTTTGTTTTCGGATGAGTCAGTTAGGATGGCAGATTTTCTTTAGTTTCTGTTAAACTGTTTCCGAGGTGAAACCTTAGGAAATTTTAAATTTTGATAGTGAAAAATCGGCGTTTTTCTATTTTGGCAAAGAAAACATAATTAGAATATAGTAATTTGCATATTAACATTTAGAGAAGAAAATCTATCTACATCTATTAAACTAGCGAAGCAAACTGTGACATGTTACAACTTGTTTTTAGATTTTTGCAATTTACCCCATCCTATGATTCCTTACATTTTTGTTGATTTATAAAAATGTATTATTACTATTAATAAGGAAATTAAAGCAACATTTTAAAACTTAATAGGTACACAAAATAATAAGATAAAATTAGTTTTTAAGAAAAAGATCAATTTACTGACTATAAATCAAAATTTACGAAATTTCTCGTTAGCTAGTTAAGACTAAGCACGTGTAGATAATCTCTCGCTACTAGTTTCAGCGGGACACTGACTGTGTTTAGCAGTAAGGCCCATCATAAGAATCAAGTTAAGTGAAAATTCTGATAAAAAAATTTGAAATCCACTGCTTAGTGTGTGTGTTACTACTTACCCCGGTTACGACTAGCCCCTATTACTTTTAATATACCGCAAATTCATTCAAACAGCAAAAACAAAACTCCTCAAGTTCAAAAAGCAACCTAATTAATTTGACCTAGACAGTACGTCACATGAAGCAGACATTTATGGATTTCACTAGTGTTCACAGCTTACATACTAACAGAAATCAGCAGAAATAACAGAAATTCACTGGTCAGGTTCAAATGATCCAATATGCTTCTAATTGACATTTTCATATCCGTTTCTGCCATGAAACAAATAGAAATTTCATTGAATAATTAATTATCCTAACTTCCCTGTGCTTATTTATGCAAATACGAACCTTCAGATGCAATTCCTGATCGGTAACAACATCACAGAATGATATAAACAGTAATATTTTTCCAATAATGGATGATGATTTTCGAGGCATATATTTGATAAAACAGGTGTTAGATATTTTTCAAAGCATCTTTTAGACAGTTCTTTCCTTGGTGCTCAGGGTTATATAATACGGCTGAAGGCCATATCACTTGAGAGGCCCGAACTCATCTGATGAAAATGTTAGGTTACATGTTCAAAATTTAAGAGTAACAGAGATATTCGGAATTGAAATCATTTATATAAAACTTATTGAAATATTGTGAAATATTGCCTGAATTCTCAGCCATAATTATTTCCAAATGAAATTCAGTATTTTTGAAGTAAATTCAAAAGCGTAGCTATTCTTTGAAACACATCGGTTTAGTTGTTTTTTGAACGCCTTGTACAGTTATATAGAGATATGCGTTACAACTTAAATAATCGGTGTAACAGAAACTTGAAAATGTTACCGTAGATTCTAGATTTAGTCATTTTTATCAATTCGTTTTACTTTTCGGTTGTTTAAAACATTTTTAATAAAATCTCATTATGTTTTAAATTTTATTTAGAAATACTATTTTTTATAAACAAAATCCTAATTCTCTTGTACGTTTATTTTTTAGCTCGCCTGGACGATGTATCAGTTTTCATTTATTATCACATGTATGCTATCGCTGATCTACATTACTTCCTGTAATCCCAGAATTTCAGAAGTAACTCAGAAAGCTGATGGCAGTCCTCCGATTTCCGACTTGGAACCTCTTTCTGAACAACTAGAGGCATCACTTCAAACGAATCCTAGCGATGATGATCTCGATAAGAGAGGATGGAATAAATTGTCCAATGTCTGGGGAAAGCGAGGTTGGAACAATTTGTCTAATATGTGGGGAAAACGTGGATGGAATAACTTATCCAATATGTGGGGCAAACGTGGATGGAATAACTTGTCCAATATGTGGGGTAAAAGAGAAGTCACCGAAATGCCACCTTTGGAGAGGCAAGCTTATAATAAACAACTTTACGGAGGCAAACGAGGCTGGAACAGCTTGACTGGCTCCTGGGGAAAGCGTGGTTGGAACAACTTATCTGGTGTTTGGGGCAAACGTGGCTGGAACAATCTATCCAATGTTTGGGGCAAACGAAATTATAACAAAGATGATGACAGCAAGAGGACAACACAATGGAACAAACTGAATGGTTTATGGGGAAAACGAGCTGCTGACTGGGATGTCCCTGCACCATGGGATGGAGAATCTCCTGATGGTAAGATTGTTTGTCCTTATACGAAAAATCATTTAGTTCGTATGACAGTAAAAATAATATGCAAATAATTATTTGCCTAATACAAATAGTTTTGATAAAATGAGTTCTTAAATTCCGTTTATTTCATCTGCTTACAGAAAAAAAAAGCGTTAGATGTAAATTATAAAAAATATTTTTTTAAATAACTACTGCATTTAGGTTACACTTAACATTTCGGTTCATTATGCACTCCTATGTCATTCATTACACTAAACAGAAGCGCAATTTGAAACAAGAATTCAGAATGCATTTCTTTTATATAAAAAAAAATAAATGCCTCATACAAAAAATACAAGAATACATACAAAAAATAAGAATCTTAATGAACATCTTCATTTGCAATTTTTTACACTTCTGCTCAATTTAGTTAAAATTTAAAATGTTCTAGTTTTCGGTGACCGGAAAAATGCCTAGGAAAAACGCCCAGTGGAATAATGCTCACAGAATAATGTTCACGATATAAATGCTCATAGGAAAAAAGCTCACACAGAAATATGCCCACACAGAAAAAAGCTCACATGGAAAAATGTTCACTTAGAAATATACTCTCACGGAAGAAAGCTTACATAGATATATGCTCAAATGGAAATAAACCCACCGATAAGTAAAATACGTAGAAATATTCTTACATTAATCAATCAATAAAATAATCGATTTGAACATCGTACACCTACTTGAATTTTTCAAAGAAAAATTATTTAAATTACCAAAACATATATGGTATAAATATATATATATCAAAAACTGTATAACTTATGTGTAGATTCGGTTGCTATAAAAGATTAACAAATGGATTGCTTTTAATTAGGAAAAGGAGAAGAGGAAGGGGAGAAAAATGAAACAATATACAGTGAAAACATTTACAATTTTAATTGTTAAAAAAATAAAATAATAGTGAATATTAGTTACACATTTTATAATATAAATCTTTATAAGAATAGCAAATATATATAATTATTTTATTTAAATTACATAAAATACCTTATTATATATAAATCATAAATATATATTTCAAAAAGTTATAAATACATAAAATTACTGAATATTATCTAATATATGTAAATATCTAATTTTATCATCGATTTCATCAGAGTTTCTTACATGATTCGCGATTACCAAATGTCTTCATATTTTCTTTTTTTTAACTTCAGTACACCCTGTATTTACAATAGCTAATAATAAACGTTGGGAGGCTAACTCTTTTTTCCAGTTCGTCAAATAAAAACCACATACTGGGATGGCTAGAATTAAGTAATGAATTTTGTGCCTTATGAAAGCTTTCGTAACGATTTGTGGTTTTAGGAGATTTTTAGAAGGGGTCCTCATAATGATTCCACACTTCGATTGGCAACTGGGGTCTTCAAAACTTTTTTGGCTACAAACTTAAATAACTACATTCAAACATCAGTTTCTTATAGATACACATCAAAAGTATGCAAAAATAGAGTAAAAAATACAAGAATAAAAATGTCCTGGGGCAGAGATATAAAATATTACAGTACATGCAAAATTTTACTATAGCTTTCTTCCTTTTATATACCGCCTCTAAAATGGTTAATGTGAGAATCTGTCCAATAATTTTTTTCAAATGATTAAATAATTTTTCTTTTAAAAATTAAGTACGTATACGATGTTCAAATCGATTCATTATTTATTGATTAATGTAAGGATATTTCTACATATTAATTTTCAGTGGCATTTTCCATGTGAGCATACATTTGAGCTTTTGTGCGAATATTTTAAGTTGCATTTTGTAAGCTTTTTCTGTGTGGGCTGATTTATACTGAAAATTCTGTGAGCATTACTTTTTCCTAAGCCCTATGAAGAAATAAATGAACCTAAATAGATTTTAATATCAATGAACATTTTTAATGACAGAGATTAACTTAAACATAGTTGCGTACAGCAGAGAAAAAAGGGCGAAGAAGTAAGAATGGTATACATATACATACATACGTAATAAACAGTTACGTCATCATTCATCACCGCGCGGATAAACGCGAACGGCGCATGCGTCAGGAGAAGCTCTCTTAAGCTAAACGTCGTATTATAATTTATGATACAACAACCCCCCTTTCGACGTTTGGCGGCTGAAAAAAAAAACATTAATCATTTACAGTTATTCCAATTAATTTACAGCACTTAGAATGTTTCGAAGCAGTCAAGTTTTGTTTTTGTCAGTACATCAGCAGGCATTTTCTCTGTTGGCACATATTTAACGTCTATTTCATTTCTTTCATAAATTTCACGAATGAAATGATGTCTAATATCTATGTGTTTAGTGCGTGCGTGAGTGATAAACAGCATTTTTCATAAGCTTCTGTGCACCTTGATTATCACAATATATAATGGTTGGATAATCAGCAGTAAATTTATAATCAGCAGTAAAATTTAATTCTTTAAGAAACGACGTCGTAAATAAACTGCTTCTTTGGCACTTTCTGAAAGACTGTGATGTACTCTGCTTCAGTACTTGATAATGCAACAGTTTGTTGCTTTCGTGATTCCCATGTTATCGGATTTCCAGCTAGCTTGAATAGGTAACCTGTATACGATTTTCTAGTATTAACATCAGACGCCCAGTCGGCATCGGTATATCCAATAAGTGCTTTTCCAGTCTTTCGAAATTTTAAACAATAATTTTTAGTTCCTTTTAAGTATCGAAGAACGCGCTTTGCAGCCAACCAGTGTAATTTTCCAGGATTGTTATTAAATTGGCTCAGGTGACTGACGGCATATGTAATATCCGGCCTAGTAAACACAGAAAGATACATAAGCGAACCAATTAGACGGCGATAAGGTACATTGTTCATTTCTTCCTTTTCAGTTTCAGAAGGACACATTTCTTTACTTAATTTTACACTAGGATCTAAAGGAGTTGCTACTGGTTTTGCATCTTGCATATTAAACCTTCGTAGAAATATTATCAACATATTTCTGCTGAGATAAACTAATAGAATTATTATTTACATCTTGATTAAATTCTATTCCAAGACAATAATGAAGTTTGCCTAAATCTTTAACATGAAATTCTTTAGAAAGATAACCTTTAAGTTCAGCATATAAATCACAGCTATTTGTTGCTATTATTAAGTCATCCAACATATAAAATTAGAATTAACTCACCTTGAGATGTTTTCATCCTGTATACACACTTATCTGATTGTAATGGTTGTAATCCAAAGTTTTTGAGTTTTTTGTCTAATTTTTCATACCACTGTCGTCCACTTTGTTTCAAACCATAAAGAGACTTTTGCAAAGCATAAACATAATCAGGATTATTTTGGTCTTCAAAACCTTTAGCTTGTTCCATGAAAATTTCTTCTTTTAAATCTCCGTTAACATAAGCCATAACAAAATCTAGTTGATATAACATAAGGTCTTGTTCAGCACTGTATGCAATCACAGTTCTTATAGAACTTGCTCTGGCTACTGGAGCAAAGGTTTCATTAAAATCAATTCCAGGTTCCTGTGCAAATCCTCTAGCAACCAATCGAGCTTTTCTCTTTTGAACTGTTCCATCTGCATTATATTTCGTTCTAAGAACCCAGCGACATCCTATTACCTTTTTGTTCTGTGGTCGCTTTACTAATTTCCATGCACCATTTTTAACAAGTGCTTCATACTCACTTTGCATAGCCTTATGCCATTCTTCAGCATAACTTCCATTTAATGCTTCTTCTAATGTCGGATTTGTATCTTCTTCAGCAATTTGTGCTTCTTCCCTTTTTCTATGTTTATATTGTGGTACTCCTTTTTTGGTCTTCCTGGCTTCCCAGTCTTGACTTTCTTTGGACGACCTGGCCCCCTTTTAATCTGCATTTCAGGTAGTGCTTCGGAATCAGAATCTTCATTATCAGATGATTCAGCAGATGCTTCTGCCATATTTGAGGGGTCTTCTGTTATTTCATCAGCCGATATTTGATTGCTTTACATTCAGAGGTTCTTCCTTCTTTTTATCAGGAATATTTTCGAGAAATAAAACTTCTAAATCTTTATCATAATTAGTACAGTTTTCAAATTCATCAATGAATCTAACATCTCGGCTTATAACGATTTTTCTGGAATTTTTATTCCACAGCCTGTATGCTTTCGATTCATTTGAGTATCCTACAAATATATGTTCTTCTGATCGAGGATCGAATTTCCCTTTAGACCTTTTATTAAGTACAAAACATTTCTGTCCGAATACTTTGAAGTGAGATACAGTTGGCTTGATGCCAAAAAATAACTCATAAGGTGTTTTGTTTACTCCCAGGCTTCGATTCGGGCAACGATTACGAATATAAACAGCACAGTTCAAGGCTTCAGCCCAAAAGGATTGGGGAAGATTACTTTGTAGTAACAAACATCTGGCCATTTCAGTTAAAGTGCGGTTCATGCGTTCAGCTCTCGAATTCTGTTGAGGAGTCATTGGTGCAGAGAATTCTCGTTTAATCCCGCATTCTTGAATATATTTATTAAATTCTTCTCCGCGATATTCGAGACCGTTATCAGTCCGAAGGATTTTTATTTTCTTTCCTAGACGATTTTCGACCGCAGCTTTGTATTTAATGAATGCATTTTTCACTTCATCTTTAGTTTTAAGAAAACTGACTTCGACATAACGCGATTTGTCGTCTATGAAAGTAACAAAATAACGCGAACCAGCATGGGATGGGACTCTCATAGGTCCACACAAATCTGAGTGAATCAAGTTCAGTAATTCATCACTTTGAAATTTTGATTCTTTTTGAAAAGGTTGCACAGTTTGTTTACCTCGGATACAGACTTTGCAGTCTTTTAGAGATTCAGTGTTATTAAAATTTAAATTTCTAACCATGTTATCAGACTTAAGTCTTTTCAAATCAGACTCATTTAAATGACCTAATTTAAGATGCCACTTTACAAAATCACTTACCTGTGCTATTGCAGCTGTTTCAGTGCTTGGATGTATTATTCTAGCATGTCGTTCTGTAAAA